TCCCTCTGCTCTGAATGCAGGAGCAAAAACAGCACTCACAGAAAGCTAATAACCAAACAGCCAAAGACTCACACATAATTCACACAGAATTCACACTGAATTATGCAACTTAAGAAATTCCTCTCTACAATTAGTTAAATGTTAGAATATTGTATTTTTTAAATATCCACCCTCCATCAAATGCTATGGCCCTAATTTGTTTTATTGGATTAAATACACCTAACTGGCAATATACAGCTGCAAAGTTCTACCCTTGGCAAAGACAAGTGTTCAAGTAGTCACAGTATTCATACTATTGCCAAACGTTTCTCACTATTTCATAAGGTCAGGTGCTTAAGAACAGGATAGATAAAGACTAGAAAACAGGTATTTTTAAAGTTGACATCAGAAAATGAAGAAGGAAGAGGTGTATATTAAGTTCAGTATTGCAACTGTACTGAGGAGCTTTATGCAGTCTGTAGAAGGTGCCTCAAGCCAATAGACTGGAAACTCTGAATGTTGGCAGTTTCTTTCCAAAGCCGAAGGTTATTCCTTTCTTCAGAAGTGCCCCTATTACCATCTTACCCAAAGGGAACTTCTGTAAATACTCAGCAGGGATGAACACATTCAATCCTACCCATCACCTGAGGAAAATGGTACATACTCAGTTTCCTATGGAAGCAGTATAACAGCTGTAAAGCTATAAAGCTGTTAAGCCAATAGCCCTGCCAGGTTTGTTCAGATGGAGTTCCAGGTTTTGCTCCAATAAATCCATGTTCAGGATCACACTTGTTCCTATTCCAAACCCAACAACTGGTATTTTGTAAGAGTGAAGCAATGTTAAAGCTGTCATCTCTTTGTGTAGAGTAGGACTTTGCAGTGTCATGACTAGGACAAGGCAAGGTGATTCCTGAGATTCCTAAGAATGCCAGCACATCTCTGCTTTTGGCACCTCCATGGCTGAGGGGCACCCAAGCAGTTTATATATAGTCTATAGTTTATAGTTACATCTTTATGTTTTCAGAGATTACATAGATCTGATAAGAACACAGAAAACCTTGTACATGAAAGAATAACAGCAAACAAAGCTGAGAAGGTGGATCAGGTAACCCTGTTTCCAGAAACATCCAGCGAATCTGGAAGCTTGCTTATCAAAGGTACTGTATATGTTTATGAAAATCAGGACTGTCATTTAAATCAGCAAATGTGGTGCTGTCCACTCGTGGCCTATGAGGAGTTTGCACCTTTCTGTCATCAATTCTTGGAGCCAGCACAGTAATCAGACAAGTCCATGAAGATGATGTAATAGAGTAATATATTTTAAAATAAAATTAATTTCAATATACTTTATTGGCATCTAACTCATTACCAGAAGCACCTTAAAACATGGATGTTCACAGAAAAAGTATTTTACTTTGTATTAAAAGTAATCAAACCCAAATAATTTAACTTTTAATGTTAAAAATGTGTATGTATTTCTATGTAACATTGCATTTACAACTACAAAATAGTAAGTGTGTTATGAAAATTTCTTGATATTGCTGCAGCTGGAAACTGCTTTACATACTGCTTTTACAGAACTTTACATAGTTTGTTTCTTTGTAATCTCACATAGTTTATTGGATTTAAAATACTCTGTACTTGTTTTTAAATCCCTCGGCTATCTCAGAATTACTATCATGGTGTAAATCTATCTGACAAAGGTTTCAGCCTGCCCAGACGTGAAATGGTGCATCAGAATGAAAAACCGCTATATTTCATAGGATTGGGTATTTGGCTTTCTTGGACAAGAGATCTAATCAGCTCACTCAGGTTCCCCTAAGGGAGGTTTCAGACAGTCTCCATTGTGTAGGAGGGCACCCTGGCTGTGCATTGAGATTAGCCTGCAGAGATTTTATGGGGTTGAGAAAGAAAGGTAAGCTCCCTCCTGCTGCTGGTAAACACTGTTATTGTTCCCCATTCCCTGTTGAATGGCACAAATGCAATTCTGCAATGTTAATTACTGCAATAATGAAAGAAATGACACAAAATGACAAGGAATGTGGTAATTCAGTAAGACTCAAGTCATTGACATATTAGTCCCTTTATTGCTTTTTGTTACTTTCAGGCACGTACTCTTTTACTCAGAAATACTGAGTGGATTCTGGGGACTTAGTATTTAAATAATAAATTAGTAAAACAAAGATTAATGTGAAAGAAGTGGCGTACAATGATCTTTTAGAAGCTGTCTGGTCAGTACCTGAACACAGAACATCTCTGATGAAGCATATGAAAAAAGGATCTAGCCATCCATCCTTGCAACACTTGCAAGGTGCTTCCATTTCAATGTCCAAAAATGAAGGCTTGCTAAATGTTATTTATAGGCTAACCAGGAAGGAAAAGTGGCAAATGAACAAGCTGCACTGAAATACTGTATTTTACCTCTGCTTAGATTTCTCACAATACCACAAAGGAGATGAGTGATATTAATTTTTTTGTGAACGTCTTACATGTAGCTGCGGGTGACAATGTGTGAATCTGTGTTTACACTGCTTGGAAACCACAGTCCTGTGAAACAGAGTGACAGATCTCCTGTATCTGCGGCCCTGTACTGGCAATGGGGAGTGCGAGAAAGCTTCGGCACAGGATCAACCCTCTCTCAAGGTCTCCGAGAGAACCCAGTAGGAATAGTTTCAATTCTTTTTTCACTTAGGTAGCAATCCTGTTTAAAACCCACACACTGCACATGTAAATTCCCTTGCAGAAGTCAAGCATTACCCAACAAAAATGCACAAAGAAACAAATTCTTCTAAAGAACTGAATAAGAAAGCAAGTGTTGCGTGCCACAATATGTATCTAAAATCACGAAAAATGGGACCTCTGGGAATTGCTAACGGTTTCAGCTGCAACACTGAATAATCTAAGTAATCCTCTTTCTATTGAACCAAAAGGAAAAATGAAAAGACTTTCATTGAAATACAGTCATAAATTCCATCCATAAGACTTTTCCTGCAATTAAGTTACATTTACTGGTCCACTACTCCCTTAAAAGGAGCATTAACACAAAGACTTCAATTATTCATGGTCAGACAAAGTTGATTCTATTGCTACAGTCAAAGCGGCATTCTCTTTTACTGTGGTTATTTTTGCAGTATCTTCAAAAAGGGCACACAGTCCATGAAAACATGTAAGTTTTTGAGTAAAAGCTATTTCCATCATAAATCCTAACTTCTTACATTTAATATTTCTGCCATTTGCTCCTTTCATGAGGATGAAATTTGCTGGGAGTTTTTGTCCACTTCATTCTTTAAAGGGTAAGCTGATTGAAATACACCATTTTTTTAACCTAGTTCAAACATCCTAAGAAAAAGAAGTCTTTCTCTCTCTAAAAGAAAAACCAAGAAACAAAAACCCTAGGTATTTACTTTTGTGGAAAACTTATCAGTGAGGAAAGAAACACAGGGAACTCTACAAAATGAACTCTGTGGAAGAGTTTGTGGTTCTTATGCTGTCAGCAGAGGGCTTAAAGAGCTGCAGAGGGTAATATCTGTGGAGAGCTATACCTTCTTCTACTGATAGAAGTTTCTGCAGTACTGGCCACTCACTCTTCCACAATTCCCAAGTGCTGTTCATTTCCGCTCATGATGCTGGCCCCTGAAAGTTGGCACCCTCTGCTGCTGCAGATTGCTGCCCAGCTTCAGTCTGAAATACCCTAAGTGTAACTGCCTTAATTAAGCTGTGGAAGTATGCATTTTAAAGGTCAAGAGTTCCCAATCAATCCTAGGAATTTAAGAAGGGGATAATATTGCCCAAAGACACTAAGCAAAACTTGATCTTCTAGAGATACGTGTTTCATTTTCAAAGGTCGAGAATGTATACAGATTCTCGATATTCTTTGGTATAAGAAAATACCAGGGATACATTTCTTTGACTCAGTAAGAAGTCTGGCATATGATCTATAAAATGTAATGTTAACAGGGAGAGAAATGCTTTCCTCAGTAGACCTCCCTAATAAGCACAACCCTGAAAGATGACAGGATGTTACAGACTCAAACTGTTGTGCATAAATCTGTTTTCATGTAAATGTGCTACAGGCTGTCAATTGATTGAGACACATATACATAATAACATAAATACTTCTTCAAAAGGTATTAATTTGTTTCTACAATGTCATGCTCTCTGAGTCACGTCTTTCAAAGACATGCAAGTTAATTAATGCCTACCAGGAATAAAAGAACTTTGACCATCTTGCAGATGTCAGAGGTTTAATAGAGTTAAGTGCTCCTCTTTACTTGCTGGAACTAGGTATCATAAAAAAGTGTAACTGAAACAGAAAATAACTAATAGCTAAGAGGTAGGAAATTGTATCCCAGTGATACTGACAAATTCTTAATTTATAAATTGATATTTATAAAATATCTCAATTAATAGATATTCCTATTTTAGAAGGTTTCATTGCTGTTTTGTACAAAATCTTGAAGGGAATGAAAACTACAAATATAAAAGGCATAGTTTCTTTGTAAAGGAAATATTGAGAAACTACAGTGCCAGTGAATTATGACCACAGGATTCAGCAGTAAGTCTTAGAAGTTTAGATCCTTATTTAAAAAAGGAATTATGTTTTCAATTTTTTCCGAAAACAAGAGATTACCTTGATGCACTATAGCTTCTTGGCTTCAGACAAGGGACAGAAAGGTGAGAAAGCAATTACAGTGTTAAAAACCCCCTAAAATCATAACCTGTTCTAAAGCATTTTCTTTCTTTCTTTCCTGTTCAACCCATGTATTTACGAAACTTATCACTTAAGTAACACCTACTTAATGTACCAAGAAATGTAATAGCGGATAGAGATTTTTTTTGGCTTCGCTCCCTTTGGTTTGAAAAAGAGGAACTGAAGATGATTATGTGGGTTGGGCACTTCAGTCACAAGTTGCTTACATGCATGACTACCCTTCAAAATTTCTCTTTACTTCATTATTTTTGACTCACACATCATTGACACAAGGCCTGTGACAATAGGAGACTGCAAAGACCATGAAGAATAATTTTAGAATAATTCATTTGACAACTATGTTTGTGGGAAAGAACATCAGTAAAAGTGCTGTACAGGTACTGCAACTGAGCTTTTTCATTACATGAAGAGCAAAAAGCTTCATTAAATTTTGCTGTAGGGCATCTCACATTTGAATAGTTGTATTTAAGTGACATTCTAGCTTTCTCATGAGAAGCTCAGAAAGTCTCCTCGTAGATAATTAATTATTGCCCTGCAGTCTAGTGAATAATCACAGGAAAAATACAATCTTCAACTAAAAAAAATCCCAGCGTATTGAGATTTACATAAGGACCACATGTATTACAAGAATTTACCATGAGCATTGTGTGCTATCAGTATATTCTAATAAATTACTCTTATTATTGCACATTTAAAGATGAACCTTGTTAATAATTACAAAAAAACCCTAAAAACTACAACCCTTTCACAGAATAAGTCACTTTGTCATCTGAAGAACTGTTTAAATATCAGTAAAATTTCACCACAAAATCAGCCTAATTTTCTGTCAGCCTTCTTAGAAAACTAGGCTGCCCGGGGGACACAGAAATTTACAAAGCACAGTTATTATCTAAGAGTAAAAATGTTCCTGTGTCTTGCATTTCCATGGAAGAATTAAACAGGATTTTGTCTTCGGATGGTACAAAGTAAATTAATGTCACTATCTGATATCAGATTATTTAGGAATAACAGCATGGAGTAACTTAATTGGAATTCTGAAAATCAGTCATCTAGTCCATTTCAAAGTCAGGTCCAATTAGACCTCCAATTTTCTCAGGAGTTCTGTTCCAAACATCTCCAAGGACAAAGATTCTACCGCCTCTCTAGGCAACCTGTTCCAGTATTTGACCATCCTTACAGTAAAAACATTTTTCATAATAGCTAATTGAGTTTTCTAGTGCTCCATCTGGTGTCCATTGTCTCTTGCACTATTGCTGTGCACCTCTGAGCTCAGAGTCTGGCTCTGTTGACTCTCTACCATCCCATTTGGTAGTTGGAGACTACAAGTTTCTCCTGTAAGTCCTCTAACATTAATGCTGTACAAGTCAAGTTCTTTCCACCTCCCCTTCTACATCAGGTGCTTCAGCTGCTGACCATCTTGGTGCACCTCTGCTGGACTGACTGCAATATGTCAATGCCTTTCTTGAACAAGTCCAAAACTGGATGCAAGACTCCAGATGTGACCTCCCATGTGCTCAACAGAAGGGAAGGATCACTTCCCTGCATCTGCTAGCTATCCTGTTGGTAATAACCACCCAAGATGTGGCTGGCTGGCACAGTACTGACTCATATTCCATTTGTTGTCCTCTGGGACCTTAAGCTCTGTTCCTGTCAAGCTGCTTTGCAGCAGTATTTGCATATGGGGTTATTACATCCTGGATGTGGGGCTGCAATTGCTTTTGCTGAACTTCATAGAGCTCTTGTTGACCCAATTTCCAGTCTGATGAGGTCCTCTGAGACCTTTCCTTCCAGTGTATAGACCACTCCCTCATATCTGGTATTGCCTGTGAACTTGCCAAGGGATGAAACTATTCCAGCAGGATGTGGCACTGTTGATCATGTTTTGTTCAGGGGGTGTGTCACCCACCTTACAGTCCATATCTCAACAATTTGTCTATAAAGATACCATAGGAAAACAAATCAAGATTGCAACTAGTATCTTGTCTAAAATGGCTCACAGTCCTTCTAGATAATACAATTTATTACTTATTAATTGATAACAGACAAACTAGTATGGGAAGTTCAGCTAGGGACTGAATCATATAAAGTATCTATTACAATCTACAAAATCAGTATCTGCATGTGGGAGCTGTTTCATAGGAAATAAAAGTTTAAGATTCTAGTCATGTAAAAATATATATTAGATAAAACCTAGACTTCAGGAAACAAATTATTCAGAAATGACTGTACTGAAGGTTTGTGAGCCCAAAAGTTTGTGTGATTTTTTCTGCAGTGAACAGCAGTTAGTCTAATAAAAGATTATTACCTCTGTCTACACACTTGGCCCCCCCTTCTTCACAGAATGGTAATTTTAAACCTGTGATGTGTAATTGCCAGTATTTTTACCTTGCTCTCTCAGAACAAGAAAAAGAAAAAAAAAAGGGAAATTGAAGCTTTCCTGGAGCAGAGAAAGTATTACTGTGCTTCAACTGTTTGGAAAAAGAAGAAAAGTGTATCTGGGAATCATAAGCTTCATCCAGCTCAGTATTATACAGTAAATAATTATTGTTCATGTCCAGGTTAGAAAAAAATAATCAATTTAAGATATATTGTCAAGGAAAAAGGTTCCTTGAAGAAGGAAGAAGAAGGAGCTTTCTCTTAAATGAAATCTGAGCAATATTTTCAGTATGCAATACTTAAATATCTGTATTTATGTTATACACAGAAATGTACCATATGCAGTCAAGAATGCTTTGAAAAACTAGAGAACTTTTGTATAGTCAGAATAGGTGATGGAGTGGAATAAAAAAGTAGAATGTGTTCTTGGATTTTGGGGCTTATTTTCATACAATTAAATATGGTTAAGTTATCCATTTCCTCATTACACATTACAGTCCTCTCCCATCATGGTTCTATTTTTGTTATTACACTGATGTAACACTACTGTCTAGTCCATTAAGTATCAGTGCTGATAATTAAGATGTATTTTATTGCTTCTTTAAAGTATTTTTAATGCCTATTTGGTTATACAAATGACATCAATGATGAACTACAAATCAAAGGCAGCAAGAATTTTTTTTCTAGCTGACACAAATTTCCTTCACAGAAAGTATGATATAATTTGATACTAATGCATGTATATTTTGAAAATTTCCATTAGCCAAAATAGTTGCAAGGAATGTGGTATGAAACACAGGAAAAACAATTTAAAAAGACTGAAACATGCAGCATTAATTTGAACACTCTGAATAACACCTTTTAACTGCCCAGATTATAATAGTGTACAACACACTAGTGTTTATTTATCTTTTAAAATTAATAGAAATGTTAGTAAAATTATTACATACATCATTTTCACACATTTTATTTGCATGACAGATCTAGAAATTATTTGATGAAGCATAAGATTATTTGACAGTTAAGAAAGTAATAATTAAAACCAAAACAGTTGCTTGCTTTTACAGTAAAATGGGCATCATTATTATGAAAATAACTTTCTTTAATGAAAAGCATCCCAAAGGATTATTTTGAATAATTTTGGAAAAATGCTATGGTGATGTTTTCTTCTGCAGTTTCTTGTACCATACAGGTGCCTCTTTATTTGTCTGTAAAAGAATGAACATTTAGTTGTGAGACAGTGAACAGAAGAAAAACATGCAATCTACACAATTTAAACAATCTACACAAGTCCCTCTCCTTCCTACGTAGTTAAGAGTTGAGTTCTTTGCTTAAATGCAAATATCAAAAACAAGACCACACATTTAAATTTAGTATTAACATATCAGTATTAAAACCTCTCTACTTCCAGGTTATAGAGAGCAAATTATATAATGAAAACAAAATAATTTGTTAAAAAATACCTGTGACAATGAAAACAAGCAGCAACTGTGCCATAAATAGATTTCATTTGAAATAACATAATTTGTCTTTCCAACTGAGAAAGAAATCGATCTTAGAAAAGAGATCTTACATGTGCCAAAATTTTGCACTATATGGAGAAATAGAGTTCTTAAAAAAATGTAATTGAAAATAAAAGCATACAGTTTTCTAACTCTGTAGAAGGTATTTTAATTGCAGAGAACTATCTGTGAGCAACTTTTCCTTATCTTCATAATCCTATGGGTTACTGCTGCACAGTCAGGATTGCTTGTGGCAAATTCAATGGTGGTTTGTATAAAATAAAATAATTTAAGTTTTAATAGAAATATAACTAATCAAGTGGAGGTGGGAAAAGGTAAGGACTATTCTGCTTCCAGGGTTGAATATAATATCTTGAGTTAGTGAGCACTGTCTCAGTATGTTTTCTCTAAACTTGTTCCTTTCTGATTCCCTTTTCTGACTGCTCTCTATTCATTCTTTCTTCCAAGACTTAAAAAACATCCAATTTAAAAATATATTTTATTCATTTCGAAGATTTCAGTTACAAAAACAAATCTGCTCTATTTATTCAAGCTTTTAGAATTCTAGAAATTGACCTAAACTAGCAGGATTTTCACAGGACTACTGATTTATTTCCCTATTTAAGAAGAAAACCTGTGCTATCGGCCCATTTTAAGCTCCCTACTTCAAAATCTGCAAAGGCTAGAGTTTTTCACAGAGAAATTGGTTACAATTTCTTAATATAAGTGCAGTTTTTCTGGATTCCTGCATGGTTTCTATATCCTGTCTATAAGACAGGACAGATTATGCACTGATACTCCAGATCATGGACACAAACTGTTTGCTCATGTTTTGGATCACTGAATAGCTCCATCAAAAGCAAAGCTTGGGCAGTATAATTTAGCACTACCAAAAGGACTATGGATGAGACAGTCCTGTATAAGCCTGTGTTTAGTCTAATAATGCTATTCAAGCAAAATTTGAACTCCTAAAATCCCCCAATGTCCTCACATCATGTCCCAGAGATGCTACCATTTCCTACTTTTTGTGTTAAAAACCCAGTACATGGTGTGCTACACCACAAACCTCATATTGTTTAAGACACTGTATGTTAAAATCTCTACCAGGAAAAAAAGAAAAAAGACAAAAGAAGGAAAAAAAAACTACAAAAAAGGAAAAAAAGAGTTCTCTTTGGACCAAGTCAGCACATATGCTATGCAATATGGATACACCCAGTCCACCCCAGAGAAAGGCAGAATCATGAAGTTTGTAAGTAAGAGTCATAATTTGTTTTGTGATTCAACACTGCAACTTGGCTCTCTTGAATCTATTTGTTCTGACACAGTCATAGTCAGAAACTTCAAACCATTTTCATTAAGCTTTCCAGTACCAGAAGCACTAAATCTGAAGTGGGCCACTTCAAATATTAAAATAAAATCTTTTCATTTCTGAAGGAATAAAACAGTGTTTTATAATGGTTTTATAACATCTGGCTTCCTTAGCACCAGAAGTGGTATACTTCTGGTGTTCTATTTTTTATATATATTTGGATATATATGCACATACACATTAATATACATCAATTTAAGAATGCATAAATACACCTATTTCCTCACTCCTGCTTCTCAATATAGATATGCACAAACTCCACTTATACACAATCATAGTAGATTTAAATTAGTATACATGGTCTGTGAATTCCTACAACTATTAAAATTTTGCTAGCCACTCAATGTTGTAAATACAGCAATGGTATTTTTTTAAGAAAATGACCTGGTTTGCTGTAAACTTAAGATATAGAAAGTAACCAAATAGCTAAAAAACATCACAAACCCTAATTTTTCTCTTCAACATTGACTGTTTCCATAAAGAGCTGAATTAATTATACATCTTCCTGAAGGATGAATCCATATTTTTCTTTTTAAAAAGTGAGGAGAACCATCAGAAATTTTAGCACTCACTCTTTTCATAGTACTTACAAATAATGTTGGCTTAGGTGTAAATATATTTTCTTCTTCATGTTCTGACAGCAGTTTTAAAGGGCTTGATTTTTTTCCAGCTGCACTTTTTACACCAGTATGAGACAGAGGTAGATTTTGTTCACAGTGTTTACCATGTAGAGTAATAATAATCTGCTTCATTGTTGCTAGTTCCTATAAAACCACAAAAGAACAATGCTAAGTTATGCAGTTAAATTACATTTGAACCTATAAATATTTATTTGCTATTAACAAGCTTGTATTCATGAAACTTGGATCAGTAAATGCAAAAAAGAATATATACTTGCTATAATTAGTAAAATTACCACTTAAACCCTAGCAAAGTAAGAAAATAAAAGAGGCACAGAGGATTTATTCAACTCAAATTTTGTTCTACTTAAAGGCTGTAAAAGACAACATTTACTGTATAGTAAGAAGCATAAGAAGCACATTATCTCTTTTAACTTGGACATCCACTCCATTTAAAAGAATTCTTTGGCATTTATTTTTTTCAGGCTGAGCGAGTGTAAAAATCTAATTTGAATGACTGTGACAACTTGTACTTTTGAGCACTAGGTCTTGCACAGAAATTTTATAAATACATTAGTAGAAATATTTCCTTGTAACCAGATTAGAAAAGAAAAATCAATGAAGAACCTTTAGAGGATGTACAGCAAAAAGAGAACCAGAATGGTAAAGAAGTTTTGTGAAAAATGAAAGTTCCAGTGTGGAAAAAGGAATGAGAACATATAGAAACGCAGCCTTTTTTTTGGATATGCTAGTAATTTTCTTTGAAAACAATATGAATTAAAAATGTAATCTTTCCTTAATACTTGGCTGAATAAAACAGATTACTCAAAATGTACAGTAGAGTGAGAAAGGAAAAAACATAGCATTTTCTGACTTTAACTGGACATCTTCTTTTGTCATCTTTCACCACATCTACCTCGTAATATTCCCCCTCCACCCCACGTAATAGGTATGATTACTATAAAACATGTTCCAGAATTTAAAGCAGTAAGTATTATTACTACTAGTAGTATTATTTAGAGCATTCATCATTGTAGAATTAGAACAGCAAGATCAGTAGCAAAGCCTTTCAATGTAAATTTTAAGAGGATTTTACATGTTTTAAAATATTAATGGTTTTGTTTGCTTGCTTTTTACAAATGGTGTTGCCTTCAATAAGCAACACTGTCACTATATTAGCCTTATATACAATTAACATTCTGTCTCATCTGTCAACCAGAAAAGGGTAATTCGTGTTTATAGCTGAATGACAAATATTTGTTAAACCTTACCTATTTAATACCTGCTGGAAAATAACATTGATGCACATTCTATTTTCACTGAATTATTAGTAATGAGTTAAAAAAACCCCTCAGGCTTTTAAGATACTCCTGCCATATACCTTCTCTCTGTCCACTGCTGCCTTTAATACAAGAAACAAAGTCAAAAGAAACATGCTGAAGCCTTTAAATTGTCCAACACTAACTCAGTTACATGAATGGAAGTTACACTCCACAGACCAGCTTTATGGCGTGTACAAATTGTTCTTGTATCTCAGTCATTTAATATTAACTATTTGCATAATTCAGCCATGTGTGGTGGCATGTTGAAACAGCATGACTGCAGAGCAGCTGTTTAAAAGGACTGCATAGCTGATGCCAACATGTTTTTCAAAGTTGTAAACTCTGCAAAGATGTTGCCAAAGCAACACATAGACAGAATTTCTTGATGAAAATAACTCAAGCAAGTATACAGCAAATAAATACACCATCACAGGAGATTAAATTGTACATAAACAATGTTTTGACATTAGCAAATGGTGTTCCTATACTTAAACTGTGTTATTCTGTGGACCAAATAGCTGCACGTTTGAACAAGGCAAAACCCAAAAACTGTCACACAGATTTATTTCAGAAACAGAGTTGAAACTTGTATGTGTAGGGTCAAATTCTCGTGTGTCAAGATCCACTTGGCAGTTTAAAGTCTTCTCTACTTAATATTATCTGTCCTGTACTTGACAGCACTGTCTGTTCTCAGACTTGGAATAGGCTCTAGAGAGTCAGCTCTCACATAAGCTTCCCTTGTGACAGCAGGATTCTCCAATGTGAAGCTATAGGAAGGAATGACAGGGAGTGGGGCGAAGAAGCTATTTTGACATCACAGCCAAATTTATCACGAGGATTTAGCTAAGGTTGCCTTAATATTTGTTCTAAACCCCCTCCATATTGAGCAAGAAAGACCTTAAGAAACTTGGAAAAATAAATAGCACATGAAATACTGAATCCAATAGAATTTCTGGTATGTGTACTGCTAAACAAGGAAAGAAAATTGCCCCAACATACTTGCAAGAGATTTGCTGTTTTCAACAAAAGAAATACTGAAAACAAAGCTTGCCTTGAACTGCAGTGATTTTAACCACCTCTTTAGATTTCTCTGCTCCTCAACACAATCTTAATTCTTACCTTCACTTTTAAGTTCCAAACAAACAGTCATGAGTACCTGCTACTTCTGGCATGCTACCATGGTTCTGTGAATATTATTTTTTAGTCTTAAAATCCAGCAAGTTGGTCTAGAAAGCTAGCAAGGTAAAAGCAGCTCTGGAGATTGTAGTCAGCAGAAATATGTGAACTTGTTCCAGGGGGAACAAGACCTTATGAAAGAAGGGGAAAGTAGATAGAGGGTTCAAAGGAGATAGGAAGGCTCTTTTGTGTAGGACATGTACTAGTTTCAGGATAAGCTAAGTAAAGGAAGATATGAAGAAAAATGGATTAAAGTTCTTCTATTTTTTACTGTGTCAAGTCCATGTTTCTGTGTCCAGGCAGAGCTGTGCAAATTGTTTACTTACAGTATTCCCTTCAGTTACTCAGTACACTGTAGGAAATAGTGTTGCTAAAGCTCTGCATTTCCCAATTTCTCTGGTGAAGTATTTAGTCTTTGCCAAGTTGGCTCCTGGACATATAAGCCATGCTATGCAAGCTGTGTGTCACTGTGTTGAAGCTTCCAGGTCTGAGGGCTTTGGCGAACCAGACAGCAATCCTTCATGGGAGGATTATGAGTACCAACACCTCTGAGTGGATTCACTCAGCTCCTCCCTGGGCTGGCTTTACACCTTTGGTCACAAACTATGGGAACACAAGCACCCACTCACCGCTTATGCAACATGCTGTGGGGACGTGGCAGTGTGGATACATGGAAAACAATGCAATTGGCAAAAAAAGGTGGGTTAGGATGACACAAGGAAAAAAGCAGCTGGCACGAAACAGTGCTTATATACAATTAGTGTCACCCATACAAACAAGTATCAGGACTGCATTATTAAATATTTTGAAAGTCTGTCAACAGCTACCTAATTAATTTTTGTTAAGAACGTTGCTATGTTTACCAGCTCAATTCCCAAAAATCGAAGTAATGAGCTATGTGACATATTAAGTGGGATTTCACTTGAACTAGTAACACCTAAATTGCTGTATCTAAACATTAAGTATCTAACCATGAGTTAAGAATCTAATTTTCCATCACAGACAATGTAGCTTGGAAAGTGACTCCATTCAGAAGTGGGACACTACTGGTGTTGTAACATTAGGCTGCTGTTAACTATAAAGCACAGAAAAATACCTGTTAACTATAAAGCACAGAAAAATACTTTACCACAGACACCTTCATTTTGATACCTAAATTTAGTTGTGATAAGCTGAATACATTTCTCACCTCACTCTCCTTATCACTTACTTTTCTCAGGCTTCCTACTTCATGTAAAACAACTTTCATCCTGAATAGCCAGTGTGCAATCATAATTCCCCTTGCATACAGACGTGAAGTATCAAATTATTTTCTTAAAAAGACCTGTGTTTTTAGAACAAGCTTTCACACCACAGATTATCTACTTGGCAAGTTTTCCAAAACATACAGAGATTCATACTTTAGGACAATCTAACATCCTGTATTCCACTTATGGATATCATGTATTGCATTGTAAATAGTATCAGAAGAAACTACTTGCTTATTTCCATTTATTTTTGGTAAGTTATGTCCAACAACCTTAGTTAAAAATAGCAAAAGCAATTTTATATGCCAATATACAATCAGAGAAGGAGATAAAAAGGTTGGACTCAATGATCTTAGAGGTCTTTTCCAACTTTAGTGTTTCTATGATTATTTATTTAGGTATAGATAAAGGATAGACAGCAGTATTTTCTAGTGTCCATTAATTAAATGTTTTCTGGTTTGGCATATTTCCCAAATTCTACATTTCTAATTTATTAGGCTAAATGGTGGTGCTGTGGAATGAACTGAAAAATCATCAAGCTTTAAAATAGTGTTAAAAGAACCAAACCAAAGAAGTGGAAATAACTTAAAAAAGGTAAAGTACAAAAGGGTATTACCTCCTAATATTACTCATACTTGAGAAAATTCAGAGACTTTTAAATGTTATTTGAGCTTAAAATAAAAGTAAAAATAAGTTGTAGTTTATTTAAAATAGATTTTACCTGTGTATTATGGATAATAGAAATAGTACCTAGAAAAATGAAGACTGAAGATCAGTTTTGGGATACAAAGGATAAAATTTGATTCCTTCAACTAGCAATGCAACTAGAAGATAAGCAAATGCAAAAATGAGGCATATAAAAGGTAAATGTATTATGAGTTACAGGTACTATAAAATGAACTCTATTAACATTCGTTTTGATGTTATTGATACGTGCTCAAATATACATGTACCAAAAGAGCAGCTTACGTCTTCCTAATTCAAAATGAATAGAATATTAAATATTATAACAAAACCATGACTTACATCATAAAAACATAATGAAAAAGAATTGTCTCCTGTGGGAAATAACTGAGGCATAAAAAGGTGCTCTTTTCTCACTGATGAAGTAATTGATGAAGTATGTGAAAGAAATGCGTACATTAAGCATTGTACTCAAGTATAGTATCAAGATAGTAATTTCATTTTTTTTAGTGAATTGTCAACAGTATAAATTTCTTTTTTCTGTCTCTGTCATGTAACTATTACCAAAGGAAGAAAGAATCCTCTGTGTGCACTCAAGAACTTGCAATAGCACTTAACATTATATATGTCTATGTATAATCTCAGTAACTATGTAAATTTATATAAGCAGTTAATAAGACATATCTATATATCATGACCTGGAAGGAGATGCAAA